TTTCCCCCCCTTCCCTTCCCTCCAAAAATCTCGCATGACGCCCGCGTGTAGGTCACTGGCTGCTGCAGCGACGCGGCGTGTGGGCTCACCATCTGCGGCTGCTTCTGGAGCCCGCCGCCTGGGAACGCCGCCCCGTGACACCCCGGCTCATCCCCAGCCCTGAAGCCAACAACCACCTTGGGCAGGGTTTTTTTTTGGGGAGGGGAGGGGGGATGGGGTGGTCTGCAGGGTGAAGGGTTTGCTCTTGGATGGGGGAGAGCCCGAACTTTTTGGCTCCTGGCAAGAAGCAGGAGCAGCAGCGTCCGGGCGCCTGCGCGAGCCGGCGTCGCTGCCAGTCAGCGGGGGGTGATGGAGAAGAGAACTTGTCAAAATAGCGAGATATCTTTTTTCAGGAGATTACAAGTTTGGCTGATGGAGATAATAGTGTTGGCGCGCCGCAGGGAAGGTTCGGAGAGGCACCGGCACACCTCGCGGCAGCTGGTTCAGGAGGGGAAGATGATGCCAAAATCAGCATGAAATGGGATGGAAACCGGCTGCCTGATGGGCTGCCGTGTAGGAGTGCAGGCAGGGAACAGCAGAGCATCACCCATCACCGGGAACAAGCCAGGCAGGAGAAAGCCTGTGAGCGGGGGAGACTGTGCCCCTCCAGCTGTCCCAGCCCATGGACTCCACCTGTGTGGGCTCTGCACAGGGGAAGGGTCTCAAGATCCCACCCATGGACCTGATCCCAGCTGCAGACATGATCCTGTTTTCCACCAGCAATGAGGGTGGACATGTCCTGACGCTGGCTGCAGACAGCAGCTCCCAAGGTGATGTGCTGATGGCTGTCCTTCATGTCCATGGATGGCTTTCCTTCATGTCCATGGGCAGCTGTCCATCATGCCCACCGATGGCTCTCCATTACTGACCCTGGACATTAAGTCCAGCTCATTAGTGGCTGTCCCTCACACCCCTGGCCATCAACACAGGTGCTGTGCATGATGCTGGTGGCTGTCCGTAAGGGTCCCACCATCAAAGCCAGATCATTGACACCTCCTGTCACACCCCCAGCCATCGACGCAGCTGTCCTCTGGTGCTCCCACACCCCGACAGCTCAGCCATCGGTCCCCAGATCCTCCATCTCCCTTCATCCCGAGCTTGATGGTGGCGGGGGGCCTGCAGCCCTCTGCCCCCCCAACCCCAAAGGGTTCAATCTGCTTCTCTTGGAGGGCCAGTTCCCTGGAGCTGCGCCTCACCCTGGGCTGCTCTGACACCTTCCCTCTCCCACTTCTGTCCCCACCAGCAGTCCCCCCGCCAGGTGTGTGTGTGGGGCTGCGGTGCTCATGCTATTGCAATCTGCTGATGGGGTGGTGGGTCCTCTGTGGCTTCCACTCCCCACATTCACCCTGCCATGGTCTCGGGGAGACAAGGATGGGGTCAGGGACAGGGTTGGCAGGTCCTGTCTTTCCCCCTGCCCTCAGTGGCCAGGGTTGCCCCGAGCAGGAGCTGCCAGATGGCTCCCAGCGTGGACGCAGCCTCTCCTTTGCCCCCCCCCATCAGCAGCCGTGCGGTAACGAACCCGAAGTAGGTTAAGACGCTGTGGATGCTGGCTGTCTGCCTGGCAGCCGTGGCACTGCTTTTGTGTGCTCTGAGTTTTTCCCTCCCCACCCCAGCGCTGGAGCGCAGAGCTATTGCAGGGCATGATTGCTGAGCAGCCTTGGGTGCACTGTTGGGGTGTGAGGGCTGGCTTTGCCCCCCCTCCCCAGCAGCTTTTGCAGCACCCAAAAAAACCCCCCAATACAAAAGCCTGGAGCAGAATTTGCCTGATGAATCTCTCTTCAGCCCCACAGCTCCTCAGTACCCGGGGTCTGTCTGGTTTCCCCGGGTAGGAGGCACCTCTCCTTTGCCCAGCTGAAAATTCGGGCTGAGTTTTCACTCCAGCCTGACCCATCCTCCCCTCCTGGGGAACTTCATGCTGCTCCCAGGGTGGTTTTAGCTCCATCCAGGGCCCTGGCCTGGTGCAGAGCTGAGTGATGCTTCTTCCTCATCCTCGCCTGTGTCTGGCGCAGCCCTGCCTCACCGCTGCATCCCCACGTCTGCTGGAATGAGCTGTGGCAGCCCCGGATCTGCAGGACATGCTGCCCTGAGCGGACAATGCACCCCACCAGCTTCTGCAGCTGCTGGAAGGAGGCGATCCAGCCCACATCCAGACCATCTGCCCTTTTGCTTGCCCACCTCCAGGTGAGCTCCTGTCTGCATGCTCCCGTCTGCTCTCTGCTACTGTCCTGCAGTCACAGTTTGGCTGTTCCCTTTTCCCTGTACAAGACTGGGCTCCAGGGAGCCTCAGGAAGAGCTTGAGGTGCTCAGCACCATGCTACCTCATTCAGCCGTTTACCCACATTGCTCCTCCATGAGCTGCCTTCATCACATGGTAAGGGGAAAAAGCTGGTGGGAAACAGTGTTAGGACTTGGGGAGGGGGAATGGAGCAAGGACGTGGTCTGAGGGTGCAGATGGGTGCCAAAATGCCCCAAGGCGAGCTGGGGGGAAGGTGCAGGGGTGGGGGAAGCAGGGAGATGAAGCAGGTGGGAGGAAGCCAATGACCCTTCCTGCCCCATGGGGTATGCCCTGGGGTCTGCAGGAAGGTGTTCCCCAAAGGCAGCTGCCCTGGACTTGTCCTGGGCTGCCCTTCCTGAAGGTGGCACGTCCCTGCAGAGCAACCAGGGCACAGAGCTGTGGGTCTTCTGACCTGCACCTGGCAGCTGGCCAAGCCTGGCCCTGATGAGAGGAGGGTGCTCCCTCTGGACAGATAATAGCTGAGCACTTTAGAGCTCTCTAATCTAGGAGCACTCTTGCGGGCATTAGCTAAATGACCCTCTTCACAGGGCCACTCCAGCCAGCTCCCAGCAAGTGGCCGTTTCTTCCCCCCGCCCCAGCCTCGTCTTCTCCCCTCCACCTGCAAGTTCCCAGAAAGTGTTGAGGCCAGACCCCATGGCTCTCCAAGGACTGGTTGTCCTAAGCAACTGGTTGCCCCAAGCGACTGGTTGCCCCCTTGTCCTAAGCAGGGACACGGGTGTACCCACGTAGCGGAGCCTGGTGCAGGGACTTGTCCCCCCCAGGACACTGCAGGGCTCTGGAGAGCAGGATGAGCCCTGGGGCTGGAGAAGAGGGTAGAGGCTGGGGTGAGAGGGGGAGTGCTGGGGCTGGACCATCGATGGGTGCAGGGTATGGGTTTGCATCTGCAGTGTCCCATTGCCAGCCCCGCAGTGCTTTGCAAAGGATGCACTCATTGCCCACAGGGAGCCACGGGCAGGGATGCCAGCCCTCTCTCCTGCCCACCCTGCCAGCCTGGCTGCCCCTCTGCAGCATCACCTGTCCCCGTGTCCTCCCTTGGCGGGGACATCTCTGCCGCAGGCCGGTCGAGCATCCTCACAGAGGAGCTTTTCAAGTGGAACGGAAACGCCTTAATGAAGGCCGACTTCATTAACCGGGGCTGTCACGGGGATGATTGCTGCCTTCCTGAGCTGCTTTATGAGCAATAAAGCTGTGGGAGAGGAGAGGAGAGGAGAGGAGAGGAGGTGGCTGTTTTGGAGGCTGGGGGCAATCAGGCAGTGCCTGGGGCTGGAGGAAGATGCAGAGCCTTGTTGGCTTCAGGGGAGCATGTTGCAGTGGGGCTGAGAGCTGTGAGTGCTGGATCTGACCATTGTGTCCTTCTGGGGCACAGCTGGGTCCTGTCCTGCCGTTAAGGTGGGACATGGTGTGACTCACACCCAAGCTGGGAGCTACACGAGGCTCATGAGTGCTGCTATTTGGACAGGGGTGTGGTGCTTGCAAGCAGGTCCAGCAGCCTCCACATTGCTTTTGGTGTCTCCATCAGCCCTTTTCCCATGCCACAACATCCTGCGGGCAGGCTTCATGCAAAGGCTCATCCCCAGCCTGGAAACCTGGTCCTTTACACCCACATCAGGGTCTGTGCAGGCTCCCCAGGGCGCACCTCAGCCCCTTGTAGGACCTGGTGCCTCTCACCCCTCCTGGGGATCCCCGAGCATCTCTGTTGGGGTGAGTGGGGACAGCCCCATGGAGAGGCAGAGCCGCGGCACTCCACCGCCCTGCGCTTGCCTCTTAATCAGCTAATTGTGTGTTTGGGGTTTCAGGCGAGGGCCCCAGCCTGGCGTTGCCATACCAACCGCATCAGCATCACTTTCAAACATTTACCAAGCAGGCTTGAAATGCGGGGAGGGGGGGGAATTAAAAAAAGGAGAGGAGGCCAAACAGAGGGTTGATGGGAGGGGAGAGTAAAAGGGTTGTCTGCGCCTCTTTCATTACACCGCATGGAGTCCCGCAGGGCAGAAAGCTCTGATTAAAACAGCTCTTGCTGGGATTCAGAGGCTTTTTGGGGAAAAAGAAAATGCCCCTGCCTGCTGGAGTCTGTCTGAGGCACTGCTGGTGGTAGGATTGTCTTGGTTTTTTCAGCAGGGTGAGGGGAAGGCTATGAGACAAGGGGCCCCAGGTTGTGTCCCCTGGCAGAGAGCCTGGGGAGTGGTGGGCACTCACCCCCGGGACCTCTGGTCCCCAGAGCTGGCCAGGCTGGTGGTGGCAGCCATCTAGAATGGTGTCTTGGTTAGAGGAGGAAGAAAAGGTGGCCGGTGGGTTGTGTGGGGCAGATCTTACAGCCGAGAGGGTCTGGCTCACGTTTGTCCCTGACCTGGTGTTGTCACGGGTATGGGGCAGGACCTCTGTCCCCAGCAGAGTTGGCCCCTGCTGCTGTGTTCCTGCCCTGCGTTCTGTAGCAGGGCTGCGTGTCTCCCCTGTGGTCCCTCCTCTCTTCTCCTTTCAGATACACCTCTTTGCCACCCTGAGCCTTTCTGTGAGCTGGATCAGGCCTCTCCAGCACCTCCTGCCCAGCCAGGTGGGCTCTGGGCTGCTTTTCCTTGCCAGCATTTGTCCCCCCTCACCTTCTGGCCCTCCTCCATCCTCTCCAGCCGGAGAGATAGCTGCCCGTGGCAGGGGCATGGAGGTGGGTGTGTGTTCCCCCTCCAATTCACCCGGCTTCCCCTGAAAGCTCATTTAACAGATCAAAATTTTATATACTGAGCCATGCTGGAGCCCAGAGCACAGCATGTTTTTGCAGATTTTAGTCAAAGGAGGGCTACGTCATGGGGAGGAGGCATCGACTGCTGCAGAGATGTAGAGGAGACAGGGAGAGGGGAAGGCAGGTCAGAGGAAGGATGACTTACAAGGAAACCCAGTTTTTGAGGGAGACACAAAGTCTTTTTGGCATCCTGTCTCATGGGATGGCCCTTGCTGTGGCACCTGAGTGCCTTTGCCCAGCTCCTTGCTGTCCCAGGATCCCCTGTCTGGGCTCTGACACCCACTCAAGTGGTGGCACAGGGCCATCGCCCTGGCTTTGGAGGAGATGCAGCCAGTGGCTTCTGCCTGCCCATCCCTGAGGCTTCAAGATGTAAGACTGCTTCCCTTCTCCTCCCTCTCCTCCTCCTCTGCGCTGAGCGAACGGCTCCATCCCTTGCATGCTGGTAATGCGGCTCAGCCATGAATCACTGTGGGCAAGGCTGCTCCTCAGGTGCTTCTGTGCCTCCTGAGAAGAGCCTGTGCACCATGCTCCCTCCCGGCTGTGCTCCCTCATGGCCACGCTCTGCTCCTCAAAGCCCCCACTTCTCCAGAGATCAACCCTTGCCAAGGGAAGGGGCTGGAGCAAGGCAGGGGGCTTTCTCTCTTGCATGAGACTCTCTCCTTCCCCTCCCGGGTGCCTGAGGACATGCATGTCCTCATTCCCATTGTGGTCAACAAGCATCAACCAGCACCACCAGACAGGCTGCCTGCTCACCTTTGCTATGGAGGGTTGCAGGGACATGTGCCTGATACTGCAGGGGGACCCTACCTACCCTGGGGAACCCTGCCCAGCCCACACCTCCTTCCAGCGGCATGTGGGCTCCCGGGGAGCCCCCTGTCCCACCCCTTATTTCTACGGTGCTCTGAGCTTCTGGAAGTGGCCGTGGGCTGTGGGGTGGCTGCTCCGAGCCTCGGGCTGGGAGCAGGAGCAGAGGTGGCTCAGGCTTTGCTGGGGAAGCTCTGGGATGGCCTGTTCTGCCCGGGGCTCCACAAGCAGCCATGAGACAGCTCGGCAGGCGCAGTTAGCCTGGTGCCAGCCCTCAGCTTATCAGCCTTGCTAAGCATCTCTGAGTGGTCCAGATGGCTTTCTGCTGGCAGAGCGTGGCCCTGGCAGCTCGCGTCTGCTGCAGGCGGTGCAGGCAGACCCCATGCCTCTTCCCGCACACCCCAGGGGGCTGGTGTGCTCAGTCTCTGGTACTGGGGCTCCCCCAGACCTTGCCACAGAGCAAATCAGGGCATCAACAGGGTTGGAAGGTAAATCCACCTCCCTCCGGGCTGTATGCATGCTGCTAGCTGCAGCCAGCCCTGCTCTGATGGAGTGATTTGGCAGTGGGATCCCCTGTGGCAAGCGGTGGGAACACCCTGGAGTGTCCCTCCTGGATCCCTCACCCTCCCTGTAGCTTCCTAGCAAAGGACCAAGCACCAGCCAGGAGCTGGGGTAAGAAATGCTATCCCCTCTTGCAGCCAGCAGGACAAGCTGTGTCCCACTGGCTGTTGCCCACTCTGCCTTCCTCTACTATGAACATCACGGTGTGGTCTCCATCCTCACCGGGTGTCCTTTTGACAGGGAGAAACCTCCAAGCCATTGTCCCTAGGCTGCTTCTCCCTTGCAGCTTCAGAAGGAGATGGACACTGTGACCACCACGCAGGTGGTGGAAAGAGTGGGGGGATGTGGTGTCCCAGGACCCTGCACTCCAGACCAGGAGGGCTCGAGCTCCTGTGCAGGGTTTCTGGAGCAACAAGGGCTGGGCATGAGCCTCCTTTCCAGGCAGCTCCGTCTGTGAGTTTTACAGCTGCCTGGAACATCTCCAAAGGATTGATTTACTGTAATTCCTCTGGAAAGCAACTTCTGTGATTGCTAGCCTGGAGATCTCAAGCTGGACTTAAACAACAGGATCCTAAAGAGGCCATGAATAATTGAGCCTAATAAATATTAATAACTCACCTGCATGGTGGCAGGGCATGTAATTGCAAGGAGTGTTCTGGAAGCACAGCTCTGCAGGCAAGTGTTCGCTCCTGGCAGGGCTGGGGCAGAGCCCAGTTAACACTGATGCTGCCGGCCATGCAGAGCTGTTTGTGGTCACCAGGCCTGCCACCCTCTCCCGGGGTTAGTGGTGGCCAAGGGCAGGGGGTGCTGGCCACCATACGAATATTTAGCTGTCCTCAGAGGGCCTCTCTCCCATGAGATGGTCTCCTGTTGAACCTGATCAGCATCCACTACATCTTTTGGCAGAGATGTTTTCTGTCTCTGAGCCACCCTCATCCACCAGACACCCTGGAAGACCTGGGATACCCACCTCAGAAAGTCCTACCTGCCCTCATGTACAAGCCAAATGGAGGTATGTCCTAAATTGCAGTCAGGCTGTGGATGCTCCCTGCTTTTTGTCCTCAAGGACTTGGTGGCCAATCTGTGGTCAGACTTTATACAGGACTGTCCCATGCATCACAAAAAAAACCAATGCACTGCAAAATCCAGGTCCCAGGGCCAAGTTTGGATGAGAGAGGACACGAATGAGGGATGTGATATGTGTGGTTTTTCTATTTGTGGCAAGACAGTGATGGGAAGTGCACGTGGTCACTTCTCTCGGCTGAGGGGCGTCCTGCAGGGAAAGGCTGAACTTGTTACTCAAACCCTTGCTGAGCAGCACTGGGCTATTGATCAGACCTGTGGGATCCTGCCCAAAGTCGCTGAGGTTTCTTGGATGAAATATAACCACAAAGCTCAAGGCAAAATCCAGCCTTTCTCCTCCTGGGGTGCTCTAGTCCCGCACTGAATCACACGCCTGAAATATCACTCGTACCTGTGGCTGTGCCAACACCTGATCAAACCCAGCGTTTCCCAGGCTTCTGCTTTCCAAGGCAGATGAAGAAGAGGAGTCTAGAAGGGATCATAAGTGCTCGCATGGGCACAGTCTTCTCGGCTGCAGTCTCAGTAGTGCTGTGAACTGGGTAGAAAAGTCTAAGCCGAGGCTTCGCCAGAACTCTCTGGATGTTGCAGTTCAGGGTTGGGAGCTTGTAGACCTGCTCCTTTGGAAGCCACTGTTGGCTTTGTTACCTGATGCTGATGATGTGATGAAGGATCCTAAATGACGTACAGAGGAAGGGGAGGACAGGAAAACCCTGAGTTTACAGCAAGGGCAGAAGAGAGTTCAGGTAGGATGTTGCCCTTAGGTTTCTGCTTGAAAATTGTGGTGCTTGGGCAGCTGAGAATAAGACCTGTGAATGCCTGGCAGGGGCATGGCGAGGCTGAATCCTCTGCAGGAGCTTCTCCCACACTGAGCAAGTGTTTCTTTTCTCCAAATTGCCTGGCTGTTGAGACTGCATCTTGCAAATGTGGTTTCAGACAATAACAGCTTGCAATTATGCAGCGCTTTCAAAACCAAGATATCCTGAATTTCGTTAACGTCTTTGTATAAAACTAGCTGAGGCTGCTGCTGGGATGCAAAGCTCCAGCCTGTGCGGAAATGTGGCAGCTGGGATCACCCAAAGCTTTCCATTGTGCTGGAGATAGTTCATCCTGCAGGAGAATTTTGGGCGTTGCTGTCTGGCTGGGACCTGCTGCCTGGGGGCTGGGGAGCCAGAGCAAAGGGGGCATGGAGACATCTTGTGGTCTCTGACCCCTGCTTTCGGTGTTCCTGGTCGCAGGAGGAGGACTGACTGCTGGTGGGGATTATCCATCCAGGAGTCAGAGCTCTGCACTCTCTCTCAGGAAGGGGAGACGTGACTTGGCGAGGATGAGCGAAGGGAGCAGTAATTGCTGTTAGACCCATTATGGAGCACAGCATCTCGGAAGCCATTTCTGAGCACGTAAAGGGCAAGCAGGGATTTCCCAAGGGAAAACTGCTGGACTCCAAGGGTGGCCACCAACAGCTCGAAGGCTGGTGGGTGGCTACTAATGGATTGGAGCACCCAGGGGGGCTGACATGGGGCTTGCCAACAGCAACAGGGGAGCTGACGCAGGAGGAACCTTCAGAAAAGCCTCAGGTGGCACTAGACAAGGGCGGCTGATGCCTGACACAGCCTCATTCTTGGGAGGGATTAATTAAAGGTGATCACTGAACCCCTGAAATTCAGCCCGGGGCATGCAAAGTGCAGTAAGCCCAGGCTGGGAGCCGAGCAGCGAGCAGCAGCGCTGATGGGAAGGACCCGGGGGTTATCGTGGTCACCGGCCTGAATATGAGCCAAGAGAGCACTCTCGTTGCGAAAAAGGCAAACCACATCCTGGGCTACATTAGGAGGAGCGTGGCCAGCAGATTGAGTGAAGTTATTATCCCCTCTCCTTGGCGCTGGTGAGGATGCACAGATCACGGAAGCAATTCTCGAATAGCTCCTAACAGCAGCTCTCCCCCAGCTTCCTCTGTTGATGAAGAGAGGTGAAAGCACAGACGATGATACAGGGGTTGCTGCAGGAGTAATAAAAGGGAACGGTAGTGTTATCCCAAGGCACTCAGAGCCCTTGCTTGGGAAATAGATGAGTCCCGTACAGTTGGAATGAGACATTTGGGGAAGAAAGGAGCTTTACACTTGGATATTAGCTTCTCTTCCAGATGAAAAATTAATGAAAGGCTTGGCTGAAAAGATCCTGTTTTTTTGTGCTCACAGATACCCCCAAAATATGAGAATATGGAAATGCTTCCCGTGGCTCTGTGCTGCTGCGCAGCCGCTCCCTGGCTGAAAGGCGATAATCCTCGTTCTGCCGGACTGTTTGCAGGCTGGCAAACCCCCTTGGCAGTAGTTGGAAGTGTGAAAAAGCAAATGGCCAGCAGCTTGGCCGATCATATTTACATGCAGGTGACAGTGCTGGGGGTAACTCTGCGAGGTCTCACGGCGTCTGCAAGGGAGCGGGCAGCAGAAAGGAGTATTTGCCCAGGGCTGAGTGCCCAGCCCCTGTGTGGCACAGAACCTGCTCACAGCAGTGTGTTTTCAGTCCTTTTTTTTTTTTCTTTCTGATTATGGCCAGTTCAGAGTTTCAGATGAGATGCATCGGCCAGTGATGGATAGAAGCACTGTAGCACGTTTTCCCCCCAGGGTTAATGTCATACCCTGTGGCTGAGAGGAACACGGACCATGCTGGGGGCTGTCAACAATTATCTACGCTGTGAGCATAGATAGCTGTGAGAAAATGGGGTGAAAACCACAGAGCTGCATTTCGAAAGGTCTCCAAGGCTGGTGACACCTGGGAGTGGTCTCACTGCCAGGTGAAGGGACTATCATACCATTGTCTCTTCAGAGGGACCTGGCATCTCATGGTGGTGAGGCTGGCAAGGAGGCACACATCGGAGACCTGGTGGCACAGCCAGGCTGGTGACAAGTGTCTGGGGCAAGATGTTCAAGCCAGTGGCATGGCTGGGCTGGTGACAAGTGGCTGGGGAGAACTGGGGCAGGACTGCATGCCCTGGGGCACCTCTGCCCCCCAGCTCCTGCCTTCACGGGTGATTGCAGGGCATCGATCCCCAAACCCTCTCCACTGCTCAAAGCTTTTAGGCTCCCTGGGCTCTATTATGCAGCTGCATGAAAGAGTATTTTCCCTTTGTAAACGGACGCAGCGACCCGCTTAGCATTGATTATGTGAGGCTGGGCTTCAAATTCAATTTGTTTCCATCTAACCCGTGAACAGTTTGGTAGATTGATTTTTAAGAACAAAAATGTATTGAGAGTGATTGCGTCTGATAAATATCATTTTAAATAATAAGATGAGGCTTGTGATCACTGAATTGTTCACCTGAGGGTGCAAAAACGTACAGTTAAGAAAACAGCATTTTTCTAAGACATCACTTAGAGCACTGACCTTTATTTTTCATGATGTGGCTCTAATATCCATCTCTTTTTCAGAGGAGGAAGCCACGGAAAAGTCATGGAGTGCAGCTGACGATCCCTAAACCTGCAATTTATGCGACTGGTGTAATCTCCGCACAACTGTAACTGATGAATATGCATCATATCATTTCTATGCACAGCAGAAAGTAACCTACTTCTGGCCCCCAGCAAACTGCGGTAGGTCTGGCTGCACCTTCCTGCAGTACCTGCAGTGGGGATGTGGGATTTTGGGCAAGGTGGGGATGCCATGTGAAAACCCTGATTCCAAACCCAATCTGTGCCTTCAGATCACTTCCATCCATCCATCCATCCATCCATCCATCCATCCATCCATCCATCCATCCATCCATCCATCCATCCATCCATCCATCCATCCATCCATCCATCCATCCATCCATCCATCCATCCATCCATCCATCCATCCATCCATCCATCCATCCATCCATCCATCCATCCATCCATCCATCCATCCATCCATCCATCCATCCATCCATCCATCCATCCATCCATCCATCCATCCATCCATCCATCCATCCATCCATCCATCCATCCCATGGATGCTGCTCACCCTGCTCTGTGCCTGCCTCCACTAAAAACCTATTTAACATTGGGTTTGGGAGACTAGCGAGGCAGCAGCCTGCTGTGGGAGGAGGGATGTTGGCTACCCCAGAGGCAGCCCTTGAATTAACATCTTGAAGCAGAAGCGGCAGAGATTTGATAGACACAGAAGAATGGCCAAGTGACACTCTAATGAGTGTTAATGGGAGGCAGGAATTAAATCCTGCTGGCTCATTAGCATGGGAAGAGGTGCCATCTGCCATGGCTGGCAGGTTCCCTGCCGTCGTTTTTAGGGGGGGAGGGCTGCTTCTGTGGGGATGTGGGGAGACAAGACCACTGCCCAGGAGAGTGGCCCGTGCTGCTTTGCCTGTGACAGCCAGGAGCCAGAGCTGGGGAGCATCCTGCACGAGAGCCTCCTTTGCCTGGATGGGGGGCTGCCTTGGAGGGAGGAGGAGTCTCTTATTTTGTCCATGGACTCTTCCCAGCCCTCTCCAGCCTGGCCAACAAGGCAGTAGAACTGGTAGCGGAACTGGCAGGAGGATGAGCTTTGATCCTGCCAAAGGAAGATGATGGCTGCTACCTGGACACTTCCTTTCCAACCTGTTGACAGCACCACAGGGACACTGGTTGGGCTCTCCTGGCACAGCCAGCGCCTGCAGGTCCTGACTGCCCCCAGATTCTGCAGGGCTGAGAGATTTGGGGCTGCAAGCCAGACAGCAGAGCTGAATTGCTGCCCACTGGGGTCTGCTCCTCCATCCAGCCACCAGCACTGTGGCGCTGGTGGCACAGGGGAACATTGTGTGCAAGATACTCCTCCTGTGCTGAGGAGGAGTTGCTATGGTTCTGGTTTGTCCATGGTCCCCAGAGCTCTTCCCAATGCAGCCTGCAAGGCCACAGGACGTGCAGCAGGACCAGCTTTGATCCTGCCAAAGGAAGATGATGGCTGTCAGACCGGCTTTGCTACCCAATGCTCATCCGTGGTTGAGGACAGGAGCCAGCCTTGTGCGGCAGTGCTGCTTGTCATCTCAAATCTGGGCTTGAGGCACGAGGTGGGCAGCAAGCTCTGCTTGCACACAGCAAGAAAACGGCTGGAGATGGAGCTGTGAAGCTTCCCGTGGCAGTGCAGTGGTCCATGGAAAGGCTGCATTGGCTGCTGCCCAGATTCCTGCAGGTGGTGGCTGGCCTCCTGTGGCCATGCTGCCTGTGTCCTCTTGCTGAAGCCAAAGTGCCTCATTAAGCCAGAGCAGCTCACACGTCAGCAGCTCAATACATCCCTGTGGGGCCGACACGTGCCCTGCCCGGCGCTGCAGCCCTTGCCCAGCCAGTGCCTGTCCACTGTCACAGCAATGATTCCTCCAGCTCCAGCCTCAGCCCAGGGGACTGGGCACTTCTGCCCCTACTGCTCCACACCTTGTCCCTCTCCTCCCCCAAGCCTGGCCACCCCTGTGGGGCAGAACTGAACCTCAGTCCCTCTGAGAACCTGAGAAACATGGACCTGACTCAGAGAGAGAAGCACCTCCAAAAGTAGGGGTCTGCCTGCTCCCTTGGACCTCTGCATGGCTGTGAAGCCCCATGAGACCCGATGATGTATATGGCACAGAGGGGCTGGGACTGTGGCTGGGGACCATTCCTGTGCTGCTGCAGTGTCCCAGCAGTGACTGGTGTTGTGTCAAGGCTGCTCCATGCTGCCGAAGCTCATCCAGCCAGGGAACACCCAGCCCTAGGCATGGTGCGAGCTATGCCCTTTGTTGCATCCACCATGGTCTCCCTGGCCCTTGTCCATGGGATCCCTGCCATGAATCCAAGACTGGAGCCACGACAAGGTGCACATGTGATGAGTGCAGCGTGGATGCTTTGGAGAACCAACCCCAGGAACACCCCCAGGAACAGAGACTTGCAAGGGAGATGGGCACGTGGTGGTCCCCCACAGGGAATGCCACACCAGATGGCTGTGCCACCTCCTGGATTACCAGCCCAGAAGAGACCCCCAGCCAGTACGGCTCACCTTTGCAGAAGCAATGCAAGCAAACTGGAGGAGCAAACTGCAGTGCCCCTGCCACCAGACACATGTGCTCCTGCTACCTGTGCCAAACCAACAGTGCCCAGGGCACTGCCCAGGGTGGTGCTGAGCAGCCCTAAATCCTGCTTGGTCTGGGAAAAGTGGTGGATAAGGAATTGGCTGAATGGCTGCATCCAAAGAGTCTCAATGTCCACATGGAAACCAGTAACGAGTGGTGTCCCTCAAGGGTGCATACTGGGACTGGTACTATTCAACATCTTCAGCAATGACACAGACAGTGGGATTGAGTGTACCCTAAGCAAGTTTTGCAGCATGAAAAGCAGTGGGAGCTGAAAACAAACAAACAAAAAAAAGTGAAAATGGATGTGCTTTAGAAAGTCATTATCAGGGGCTGAAGCCTGAAATGTGCAGTGAGGAAGGGGATTTCAGTGGTGAGCTCAGCAGAGAAAGGGGAAATAGCTGTCTGAAGTGACCTGGGTCGGCACAAACAGAGGCAAACGGGAAGTTAGGAAGTGTATAAAACTGTGAACGCTCCCGGGAAATATGCATGGCTGACCAGAGCGATGAGGAGGAGGAGAACAGCTTTTACTACCAAAACAACACATCCTCAACTTTTAAATCTGTTTCCAAAAACAATGAAAATGGTGTTACGCAAGATGCAGAAAGGAGGGCAATGTGTATTCAGTGTTCGGGAAGAAGCAAGGAAGGCTGTGAAATACTTTCCCATTTACCGGGCACTAGAGGGGATGTTAGAAAAGGGCAAATATTTCAAGTAGTTGCCCAGATGAATTGTACCCAAGAGCCCTTAAAGAATGGGCTGAGGAATCTTAGCTGCGATGGTATTTATTTCTTATGGAAGTTCCCTGGTGTTCCCAGGAGATGCTGGGGCAGGCAGGCATCATCTGCTGTGTGTCTCCCTGCTCAGGCGTCCGCACTCCCTGGAGCATGGATCATTTTCCATGTGAGTGAGGTGCACAGGGACAGCACGGCTGCCACTGCAAGTATCTTGGAGGAGGAATGACTGCTTGCTTTTCCTGGGAAAAGCTAGGGCAGAGTAAAGCAAACCCATGTGAGGTTTAAAAGGGGAATGGGAGCACACCCATGGGAAGGAGCCCCCATCCCTCTATCTCTGTCTCCTCCTCCATCCCTGGGACGGTGAAGAAACGTGAGCAGCTTGTGGAGGGAGGTCACTTCTTCCCAGACATGGGGGCAGCCTGTGAGTTTGTTGCTGGAAAAGAGCTTTTCTTTGTGGGGTGCATGTGGACTCAATGTTAAGGGTTCTCCTCTTCTCCGCAGCCCTTCGGAGCTACGACCACCAGACTGCCAAATTGCCCTCCACAAAGAAAACATCCTAACACTGCTTAGTCACTGCTCCTTGCCTACTTGTCTCGCAAAATAAAGTCTCCAGAATAGCTCCCAATTTACTTTGTCCATTCCCCAGCTTTTTGCAGATTCTGTCACATTTGCACAATTTAAACGTGGAGATCTCTCGTAACCCTGTTTGCCGGCTGTGCTGCCATTTCTTGTCCTTCCCTGTCCTGTGAAGGATACTATGGGTACCCCGGGAAGTCCAGCAGGGGTGGGAGTCCCCGTGGTGGTTTGAGGACTCCAGGTTGCCCTGAGCTGAGGAGGGTCAGGAGGTGATTCAGGACAGCCTGTGTGGCTCCAGGCACTAGTAGCCATCTGCAGGGAAATAGCATCTGCCAGCCTGTTCCTCTGGGACCAGTTCTGGACTTGAGAGCATTCAGCATGATGGAAAATGAATATTAAATGGGTGTAGTTGGAATCTGCAGGCATGAGGAGAGAAGCAAGGAGCCAAAACATTGCAAGGACTGGGCAGCCCCGCAGCCACCAGTGAGGCTGAGGGCTGTGAGAAGCTGATCTGATGGCTCCCTCTGGCCATAGGCTTTGCGAGTCTGTGGAAAACGCTTCCTGCAGCTGCTCCATTCCCATAGACATCCAAAGACATGGGGAACCTTTTTCTTTTCTGAAGGCCTCCTCCACTGCCTTGTCCTGGGAGGTTTTGGACAATGCAGGACCACGGTGCTGCTGCTGGACTGGGCATCACCCACAGTTTCTTAGTGCACATAGGAACGGTTCATCATTTCAAGGCAGACAGAGCAATAATTTTGGTAGTGCTCTTGGGTTGCTGAAAGGCATGAGGGCTCAGTTCTTTCCTTCTAACCTCAGGAAATTGTTATCCTCCTCTCATCACTCATTACACCACATCTGGGTGCTGCGCCCAGGTTTGGGCTCCCCAGTACAAGAGAGATATTGACAAACGGAGTGCAGACAGAGCCACTGAAATGGCAGGGACTGAAAGTTCCTGTCCAGTGAGGAGAGGCTGAAGGAACTGGACTTGCCCAGTCCTGAGAAGAGATGGCTTTGGGGTAGACAATCCCCCAGAATCTTTGGGGAGATAACAGACAAGACAGAGCTAGGTTTTTAATGGAGGTGTGTGGGAGGATGACAGGGAGTGATCTAGCTTGTCACATGGGGAAGTTTTTGCCTGTGGGGACAGCCTGGGAGGTGGTAGGATCTCCAGCCTTGGAGGTCGTCAAGATGCAGTTGGGTAAAGTCCTGTGTGACCTACCCTGGT